TATATATATATTATATATTATTGTTGTGGTTTAAATTACTCGCCTTTGTACAGGTGAAGAACTACAGAATGTTCCACGATGACAGCATGAGATCGTTCTTCAGACGTCTCACATTCACACCAGATGGGTCATTCCTCCTTGCACCAGGTACACATTTTTCTTTTTCTTTTTATATGTGTGTATACTGTGTATGCTTATGTTATGTATGTGAGTAGTTATTATAACAAACTTTTTAATATACTTCTTAAGAACGTTATTCAACACATTCACAGTGTGGTTTTTTTGGCCTGTGTCCATTTACTTGTACATTCCTTGTGTAGTTAATAAGGAATATTTTAATTTACTCATTTTATTTTTAGCTGGGTGTGTCGAGGCTGGAGAGAATGTCACAAACACAACATACGTATTCTCCAGAAAAAGCTTTAAGAGGTTTGTGTTTGTTTGATGGCTTTTATTTCCCTTGAAAGCTTAATCTTTATACATGTGTATGTTAAATTGTAAAGCTATGCGTTAATCACATATACACTGCCGTTCAAATGATTAATGCATGGGGTCAGTAAGTGTTTTTTTTAAGAAATGCAAATATGCATTAAATTGATCTAAATGTATCACGGATTCCACAATATATTAATCAGCACAACTGTTTTTAACATTGAGCACCAAATCAGCATAATAGAATGATTTCTGAAGGATCATGACACGCTGAAGACTAAGTTCTATTAGCTAGAGTAATAGCTGCGGAAAATTCAGCTTCGCTATCACAGGAATGAACTGAAATTGTAAATATCCAAATAGAAAATAGTTATTTTAAATTGTAATAATATATCACAATATTACTGTTTTAATAAGTTTTACTCAAATAACCGCATTCTTGCAGAACATTATAAGATTTTTCAAAAACATTTACAAAATCTTACAGAGCGGTGGTATAAACCATAAAATGTTGGGACTCCTGTATTTTTACAGGAGTAAAAATATATATAGTTTTCAACACTCAGCCCAACTGCCGACACAGTCTTGCTTTGTGTAATCATGCTTAGTGTTTGACATGTGTTTGTGTATCAGGCCCATAGCTCATCTGCCCTGTCCATCTAAAGCCACACTGGCTGTGCGCTGCAGCCCAGTGTACTATGAGCTGAGGACAAAAAGAGCTGAAGGTACACAAAACCCTTCCCAAACTATTGTTCTACTTATGTCACATGTGTGCAGTGGAAAGACAGTACTGTTCTTTTATGTTCCACAGATGGTTCACTGAAGCCAGTGTCAAACACGTTTAATTTGCCATATCGGCTGGTGTTTGCAGTTGCATCAGAAGACTCAATCTTCTTTTATGACACACAACAGATGCTGCCATTTGGATACGTGTCTAACTTCCACTATCACACACTGAGTGATCTCAGCTGGTAGGTTTCACAGACTTGTTGGTGTATTGTTTTTACATGACTAGGATTAGTTCACTTCTGAATTAAAATTTCCTCATTTACTCACCCCCATGTCTTTTTTTCTTCAGTCGAAAAGAAATTAAGGTTTTTGAGGAAAACATTCTAGGGTTTTTCTCTATATAGTGGACTTCAGTGGGGTTCAGTGTGTGGAAGGTCCAAATTGCAGCTTCAAAGCGTTCTAAACGATCCCAGACGAGCAATAAAGGTCTTATCTAGCGAAACGATCGGTCATTTTCTAAAAAAGTTATATTATTTACTTTTTAACCTCAAATATTAAATATTATTTAGTTTTTAACCTCAAACGCTTGTCTTGTGTAGCTCTGCAATGCGCATGCGTACTCTGTGCAGTCCCATTCGAAACAGTTAGGGTAGGTCGAAAAACTCCCATCTCATTTTCTCCTCCAACTTCAAAATTGTCCTACATCGCTGCAGAAGTACCGACCCAGTGTTTACAAAGTGAACGTGCAAAGAAGGTCAAATGCCCTTTACAAAAAACGGTACAACAGCGATGTAAGATGATTTAGAACGATTTTGAAGTTGGAGGAGAAAATGAGATGGGAGTATTTCGATATACCCTAACTGTCATGAACCAGAATGCACAGAGTTCACGCAGAATTAGACAAGATGAGCGGTTGAGGTTTAAAAAGTATATCAATTGTAAAAAAAAATGTTTAGAAAATGACCGATCGTTTCACTAGATAAGACCCTTCTTCCTCATCTGGGATCGTGTAGAACGCTTTGAAGCTGCAATTTGGACCTTCCACCCAGTGAACCCCACTGAAGTCCACTATATAGAGAAAAACCCTGGAATGTTTTCCTCAAAAACCTTAATTTCTTTTCGACTGAAGAAAGAAAGACATGATCATCTTGTATGACATGGGGGTGAGAAAATTATGAAGAAATTAATTCAGAAGTGAACTAATCCTTTTAAGTTGTGGTTTGTTCTACATGGTGATAGGAGGAAGATTCTTCTGTCAATTATTGACCAACACATTTGCTGTTATGGACGTTGTTCCACGGGTCTCGTGATGGCTCCTTCTTGAGTCCCAATGTTGCATGCCATTTATGGTAGCCTGAATTGACCAAGTGTATTTGATCACATAAAAATGTCCATAGAAATCCTTTTTCATGAAACTGTCAATAATAAAATAGTAATTTTATTAAATGTTATATAGTTTTACATATTAAAAATTTATATATTTTAAAATCTCATAATTTTTTTTATTAATGCACATTGGCCACAATTAATGGCACCATTTTATTCAATGCTTTCTGCAACCTCCTTTTGATAAGATAACAACTTTATAGCTACAACTATAATACCTGATGAGTTTGGAGAACACCTGACAAGCGATCAGACCACTTCTCCGTACAGAATCTCTCCAGATCCTTCAGTTTCCCAAGTCCATGTTGATATGGTCTCCTCTTAAGGTTTCTTGCGGTTCATGTCAGGGGACTGAAATGGCCTTGGCAGAACCATAAAGGGGACCTTTTTACGAAGTCTCGATTTGGTTTTTGGGGTGTACTAGAATTTGTTTTCATACTTGATTGTTGAAGTTGAACTGAATATGCTTGAATTTGTTTTTGTATGACAGCAGAGGATTTCTTTCTTGAAACCCTCCCAAACAATTTGTGGTAATATTGGTGCTGTTTAATTTAATTTATTTAATTAATTAAAAAAAAAAAAAAAAATTAGGCTTTGACCCCATCTCTTTTTTTTTGTGTTTTACTTAAAGCATGGCCATTGTTGCTGCTTTATTGGGAAATTCACAATAATTTATATGTAGCCAATGCAACCAAACCCTGTCTTTTCTCGTGAGTCACAAATGCATACAAAAGAGGGTAGCCTGAAACACTTGTGCCTGTTGAGATGGTCTTTATCTGTGATGAAATCCTTGGCAATTGACCACCCAGTCTTATTGTTCAGATTATAGAAAATGCAGACATCAAGAGTAGAATAATTTTGGGAATAACAATTATTGACTAACACATTTGCTGTTATGGACGTTGTTCCACAGGTCTCGTGATGGCTCCTTCTTGGCTGTCTCATCCACTGATGGTTACTGTTCCTTCGTGTCATTTGAGGAAGGGGAGCTGGGCACTCCACTGAAGGAGCGACCTCCACTGGAGATGGTGACCCCAACTTCTACTAATGAGAAGAAAGGCAAGAGACCCTCAGCCAATGGCAGGACTGCTTCCCCAATCCCTCGCCAGGCCAACACACCTGCACAGGAAAAGGAGAAAGAGGGATCTGCTAGTCTTGCATCCTCCAAGACCCCCAGCGTACCTGTTCCAGATGAGAAGCGCACATCTCAAGCGCTGCAAACCAAACCTCAGCCCAGAAGGATCACACTCAATACCCTGGCAGGCTGGGGCAAACCCAGCACCCCCAAATCACCGGCAACTGCCCCCAACACACCCAAATCTGCTCCCTCCACCCCTGGATCCAGCAGAGGACCCCTGACACCTCTTACAGCCCTCAGCACTCCGCTTGGACCCCTCAACTCCAAAAATACCACAACTCCAAAAGGACCAACTCCTAGGTAGGGCGGCACATCTGTGGTTATGATCTGATGTTAAATGTTTGTTTTTGTTTTTTTTACAAATGCTAATATTAACTTTGGGTCAGTAAGTTGTTGTTGTTTAAACAAATTAATACTTCTATTCAGTAAGAACATTTATTCTATTCTTTTGAATTTTCTGTTCAAAGAATCCTCAAACAATATACCACAGTTTCCACAAAAATATTTAGCATTAAAACTGTTTACCTTTGACTAGACTAAATCTTTCTTAAGCACCAAATTTTCATATCTGAATGATTTCTGAAGAATCATGTGACACTAAAGACTGGAATAATGTATGGTGAAAATTAAGCGCTGATACAACAGAAATAAATTACATTTTCAAATACATTAAAATAGAAAAGAGTAGTTTTCAATTTTAATAATATTTCACAATATTACTGTTTTTTTCTGCATTTTTTAACAAACAAATGCAGCCTTGGTGAGCATAAAAAAATTAAGTATTTTTCAGACAAACTTTTGAACGTTAGTGTTTGTGACATCAAAATTGTCAGTAATTATGCAACTTTAATATATTGGTTTGACTGTAATGGCACCCTATACATGTATCCCTGAATGTATGTAGATTTAGTGTTACAGCCTAATCCATGATCTGAGCAGTAAAAAAATGTGCACTATAGATCAAATATGTCCTTTTCTTTCAGACGAATTTCACTGACTCCAATTGTATCCAAATCCCCCACTCCTTTTGTCACCCCATCTTCCACTGAGAAAGCCAAGCACGGTTAGTAGACCCATTTGTTTCTTTCATTTAGGTTTTGCTTTTTTATGTAAAGATTTTTTTTTTTACGTTAAGTATTTGCTTAAATATGCATAAAAAAATGTTCTTCATTTTAGAAGAGCATTCGTTTTTTAATCTCATTTTGTCTTGCCTCGAAGACCTTATTTAACCTTATTTGTGCCTATTTTGCTGTCATTACTTGGGATGATTTTTGTGTAAGAATCATGTCAATTAATTATATGTTTGTATATTTGTGCACATTGTCTTCCCGGTCATTTATAAATATTTGTTTATTACAGAGAGACCATCTCCCCCCAGTGACCCAGTGTGCAATCCTCCTGAATCCAAGAGGTCCAAGACTGATGTTCCCAATGGTTCTGCCCAGAGCAGTGAGCACAAAATGGACACAAAACCCAGCGTCAAACCCCAGGAGCCATAAACACTGACTGTGGTTCTTTGTTCCTTCGCTTTAACACCGCCCTGCGCATACATCACGTATGCTCATATCAGCGTGCTGCGCGCTATTTAATCAGATTTTACATGACGAAGGAAGCGCTATCAACAGTAGGAACGGTCGACATCACAGCATCTTGTTCCCTATTCAGGGAACCAAAGTTACATACGTAAACGAGACGTTCCCTTTCATAGATTCACTTCAATGCTGCGACAGCGGTCGCTTTGGGAACGCTATACCATAACGCCTGACGTACCTCAGATAGCTGGAAAACCAGGGAAAGCATCTGCTCAAGCGGATAAGACCCGGGAACAAGGATCCATCCTCACATCCATCCTGCAGCAGCACAAACATCTTCCATCGAAGACCATTTAAAGAAGGCCTGAGAAGAAGCCATTGCTCTAGTAGAATGAGCATGCACCCCTAGAGGTGAAGTCAAACCACGTGCCTCATAGGCCAAAGAGATAGCCTCCACTATCTAATGTGACATCCTCTGTTTGGTGACAGCAGATCCTCTACTCTTACCACCAAAACACACAAACAACTGTTTAGATCCACTCCACTGGGCTGTGCGGTCAACATAGATCTTCAGTGCCCTCACCGGACAGAGACTACCTGATCCCACATCAGCAGGAGAGAAAGCCTCTAAAACCACTTGCTGAGAGCGAAACGGAGTCGAAGCGACCTTAGGAACATAATCAGGCCTGGGTCGCAGTAAGACTTTAACCAGCCCCAGGGCAAAATCCATACACAAAGGGCTAATAGAAAGAGCCTGCAGATCCCCTACTCTCTTAAGGGACGATAAAGCAAAATAACCATTTTGAGGGTCAACAGTTTCTCTGGCACAGTCTCCAACAGCTCAAATGGAAGGCCTGTCAGAAAACAATCAATAAGTCCTACGAAGGAACCCGTGCCGGGTGGAAAGGCTTAAGCTGTCTCGAACCCTGCATGAAATGGGAGACCAGAGGGTGACGTCCAACTGAAACACCTCCTATAGGCACGTGTTCAGCAGATATGGCTGCCACATAAACCTTAATAGTGGCAGGGGCCACCCCTTTAGAAAAACGACTGAAGAAATTACAGCACCGAGCCGATAGAGCAATGAACTGGGTCGAGATTACGTTGCCTACACCAAGACGCAAAATGTCTCCACTTATGAATTAATAAAAGTGTCTGTAATCTCAGCCGAGAGACCAGAACACATTAACGCACTCCACTCAGGGGCCACACACATAACCTCCATAAATCCGGCCGAGGATGCCAAATCATGCCCGTCAGCAGATCGTGCCTGAGGGGAACCTCCTAGGGAGGGCTGGCTAGCAGGCTGACCAGGTCCGAGAACCACGTCTGAGTCGGCCAGAACGAGGCCACCAACAGCATACGTTCCACTCTGTCCGACCATATTCTGAGCAGAACCATTGGGAGCAACCAGATATGGGGAAAATGATTTAATAATTTATGCATTTAGCAGACACTTTTATCCAAAGCGACTTACAGTGCATTCAGGCTATACATTTTTTACCAGTATGTGTGTTCCCTGGGAATAGAACCCACAACCTTTTTCCTATGGGAAAAACATAAAGACTGGTCCTGGGCCATTCGTGGGCCAGGGCATCCACTCCCAGAGGCGACAGGGGAGACAGGGAAAACCAGAGCGGGCAATGCGTAGTCATGCTCGAAGCAAACAAGTCCACTTCCACTCGGCCAAACCTCTGCCATATGAGACTCACCACCTGGGGGTGCAGTCTCCACTCCCCAGCTTCCAGCCTCTGTCTTCGAGAGCAAGTCCGCTCCTGAGTTCAGGCGACCTGGGACATGGACTGCTCTGATCGACAGGAACTTGGTCTGAGCCCAAAGAAGAATACACCTCGCCAACCTGCACAGGGGGCGAGAACGTAGTCCTCCCTGATGGTTCAGGTACGAAACCACAGCCGTGTTGTCTGTCCTGACTAAAACATGATAACCCTGAAGTTGGGGTAAGAACCGTCTGAGTGCCAGAAAGACTGCCAGCAGCTCCAAATGATTTATGTGCCAACCCCGATGCACCTCTGTCCAGACTCCACAAACTGGGCATCCTCGATGGACTGCCCCCAACCAATAAGGGACGCATCCGTCGCAAATTGTCTTGCGACAATGGAACGCCCCCAGCCGGACTCCTTTCTAAAGGAAATGGGGTCTCATCCACAGGCTGAGAGCGCGAAAGCCTTTGTGCGTCATCATAATCCTGCGGAGCGGATGACAAAGAGGTCAAATATTTTGTCTCTTGATCCACCACTGAAACTGCCGCATGTGGAGCAGTCCCAACTGAACTACAGGGGATGCTGCCGCCATCAGGCCCAACAGTCTGAAGCATAAATCTACGCGGACTAGACGTCCTGTCCTGAACTGACTCACGTGCATGTGCGAGAGACAGACGTGCTGCGTCCATACATTTCGTGAATGTTCGAGGAGCTAGAGCCAGTCCGAACGGAAGAACGCAATATTGGTAAGCTTTGCCCTCGAAAGCGAACCGGAGTAACTTTCTGTGTCTCTTGTTGATCTGGATGTGAAAATATGCATCCTTTAGATCGATAGTTACAAACCAATCCCTGTATTGGACCTGAGACAAAATGGACTTTAACGTCAGCATCTTGAATTTGAATAGTACGTAGTAGATATCTCAGGCAGGCATCTCCACGCGGTCCAATAGTCTGCCAGGGGCTCTATTCGTTCTATGTTTGGATTTAACAGCTGAACTACAGGTGCCAAGACATCTCCTGATTGCAAAAAGCCGCTGGCATCTGCAAAAACAGGTAGCACATGCGGGTCTACCACGTTTGATGAAGCCGTCACCTGATTTTCCTGCACAGGGCCCCGAAGCACCTGAGTGGCGGGAACCTCTGTAACAGGAAGACGTCCCAATGCCCGATCGGGCACGCGCACATGACCCTAGGGCTGTCTCTCGAACTCTGAAGGCTGGGAAGCGCAGAGTGTCTGAGGAAGTACTCGTCGTGAAGACTCGACCTAAAACCGCCTGAGGCGCAGAATGTGGCGGGACAGTTGAGATCTGAGCCAGGAGGCCACAATGAGAGAGCGGAACACGCTTGTGTGGTTCGTCCAAACTCTCCAAAGGAGGGCCTGGCCTCCGAAGGCAAGCAAAGGAATCAGGAACTACTACTAGGAGCCTGAGAACGAGAGGCCTTGGCTGTCGAACTCAGGTCTATCCATTTACGTTGGCGTGGGCGAGACAGTAGGCGAGACCTAGGACCCCAGTCCTTATGAGGGGGTGCCATAGGCGATGGCTTAGCTCGCCTGAGTTCTTTAACAGCCTCCGGGGTCAGGCCTTCCCCCTCATCCAGCTCCTTAAGCACATCTGCTTGATAAGCCTGGAGTACACCTATAGGATGAAGTGTGGCCACGGCCTGTCTATCCCAGCACCTACACGGCAATCATACATGGCTTGGACGGCAACAGGGGGTGTGACTTCCAAGACGGAGCCGAGTTTGGCGCGAGATGTGCCACAAGAGTCTCTTCTACGGCCAGCATCGCCACGTAGCCATGTTCCGCGTTCCAATCAGCAGCAGCGGGATTTTTAATACGCGCCAAAAAAGGTTGTTTCCAGGACCTCGAAACCTTGTGGTGGAGATCTTGGAAGAAAGGGAGAGGCCTACGGGGCTGAGACGGAGTGTGGCTAGACAAAAATCGGTTGTCCAGTTTCGACTGGGATTGATTTTGCGCCGGCTTGCTATCCCACTCTAACCCCAGCTTATCCACAACACACAACGTCTAAAAGTTTGCCGTAAGATGGGGAGGTGCGTTTCTCCTGTCCGCTCGGAGGGAGAGAACTGCATGCTTCACCCATCAAATCCTCCGAATCGGAGGCCGCTGTGGACAGCACATCTTCATCATATGATTCACAACCGGAAAAAAATCGCATTACGATCTTCCAGGGTAGGCCGCAAATCATCGTTTACAAAGACAATGGGCTCCACGTAGCGCGCTTGCACGTGGCCTGGAGAGAGCGAGAGGAAGGGAGAAAACTCCGTTGTCTCACTCTCCATGAGCTTTGGCTCACATGCATCATCCCAAGCGACCGTCTCGTGCGGCCCCTCGGCAACTGCAGAAACGGGATAGCGGGGCTTAGACGCAAGGCCTACTCTCTTAGAGAAGGCTGTGAGCCTCGAGCACAATACTTTTAGCCGCAGGCTATCGCAGTGTTGACAGTCAGAAAGGCCGCTTGAGCATGTTGTAGGCCCAAACATTGCACACACCTGTTATGAGTGTCTCCTGCATTGAACCTGTAACATGGCTCGACACATCTCCTGTAGCTCATCGTGTCCGCTGAAGAGGAGTAAACTGCTATTTTGAAGGAAAATAGTTGAGAACATGACGAAATAACACTTTCCTATGGGCGACAGATGATTTGCTTCCTGAAGGAAATAAAATCTGATGAAATAGTGCACAGCACGCTGATATGAGCATACGTGACGTATTCGCGGGGTGGTGCTAAAGTGCTGTTGGCCAATGAATTGGCGTGATGGTATAAGGGCTTCAGAAATTCGTCACACCAAAGGTGTTCCCATAGCGACTGCTGTCGCAGCATTGAAGTGAACCTATGAAAGGGAACTGAGAGATGATGTATAGGTATGAATCATATCATTATGAAATCGAATTAATGTTTTAATTAGTTATTTATTAAACCGTGATACTATTTATAATTGTAATATAACTAATTGTTTATCAAATGTATATTTAAGCAAGCTTAATACAAGCATTTATGTATTTGATGTTTTCTGTGAGACGTGCAACTATTGGAGATGCAACAAGGTTTATGCAAATGAGCAGTGCAACTACCAATGAGAGTCCAGACAGTGGTCTGCCACCTGACACAATTAAAATCCCGCGGCGGAGACCTTTGGCTAATGTTGTCTGTGTGAACGGGGCTTTAAGCTTAAAGTTGTATATTTCTAAATTGACAGTGAATGAACAGGTAGGGGACTCTTCATAGCCATTGCTTGCTTACTAAACTTGTAGTAAACTTGGAAGTGTTATTGATATTGTTGTCCTGCTGCCTGATAATATATCAATCACAAAGGCGTGTAGGTTTTTTTTAATCACATCTAGCTATAGCTGTCTTTACACTTGAAAAGTGACAGAGATGGCGTAGAATTTTACATGTGAGTTACAGGCACAAGAAACACTGTACTATCAACTCAAGCACTCAAAAAGTCACAATGTTGCACTCAAAAAGTCACAAATTTTGCCTTCTCACACAGAATCTCGGAATTAAGGGGTTGAGGTGCATTGGAGTTGGCTTGTTTTAGGATGAGTATCATGCTGCATTGCTTCCTTAAGGAGGATTTATTGTTGGAAAGGTCTAAGGCCCCTAAATAAAAATTTAATGACTGTTTTTTTTTCATTTATTATGTAGGAAAAGTAATAGATTAATTTATGACAAGAGTGCACCTCAAAAATCTACATCATAACAGGAGTTCTGACCTTTGTCACAAAAAGGCTTCTTTGCATTTTTCTCTATCACACTTTAGAAATCATCAGAAATTATATATCAATTGAAAACTTAAAATCTCAAAATTCATCCTTTGAAAACCATTTTAAAATCAGACATTGCATTACCATGAACATAGTACATCAAAATCATGTTACAAAATGTTTTCATTCATGAATTATAAAAATGTAAGTTTGGATAGTGCACTTTCATGTCTATGTTCAAAAATGTGAGTGACACTTAAGGGGTTAACGCACTTAACCTTGGGTTATTCCAGGAGCACTGAACCTGTTATTTGTGTACTAAATGCTTTTGCTAAATGCTTACTTGGTGAATTACTGAGAGGACATCATTGATGGAGAGATAAAATGCACTGGCCAAAATAATCCTCAAAACTGCCTAATGGTTCAGATCATTGTTTGAGCTCCACATTTATAGCCAAATGCTAACTAAACTTGTAGATTGCTGACCGATTCATGACCATTGAGTATTCGGCTCAGTGTTCAATGCATTTATTTTTATTTTAAAATGCTGCATAAACCATGTTGCATTGAGTCATTTTAGCCTCAGACCCTAATTCATGTTTTTAAGTAAACCCAAGTTTGTTATATAAAATTAAGAAAAAATGTGTTTACCACGCTTACCTCTTTTTCCTTTGGCATACACTGTAAAAAATGACCGTGAATTTAACGGTAAAAGACTGTAAAAATGCTACAGTAAAAACCTGTTAAATGGTTAACGGTAAATTCCCCTACTATATACGGTGAAAAACTGTATTGGTCATTACATGTATTGGACATTAATTTTACGGTAGTATACCGTTTTTGGAAGTGAAAAAGACTGTATAATTTACAGTGAATAACCGTAAACTGACATTCCCAGAATTCCCTGCGTTACATTTCAAATTTGATGTTTTTTGTTGAAATAACTGTTTCTTCTTAGTTTTTTCTTATCAGTTTTGTATATTAGGGTTGTGTGTTACATCTAATGTTGTTAAATGAATGTTTATTGCATTATTTCAGTTTCATAAGTGTCACCATGATGGTGTTTGTGTGAATGACACTGTGCACCTTCTATATATGTAATTATTTAAAAGCTGCTTGTGATGGGCTTTGATTAATTATGTGACTTTCTCATCAACCCCTGCATTTGGTGGTTATCAGTGTTTTACAAAGGTACAAAACAGATTTCAGTACTTCAATAGGTTGGTATAT